CATCCTGTTTGGGTATGTTGTGCCGCCGATTCGCCTTTTGTGTTTGTTATAACCGTAACACCTCCTTTCTTAGGTACTACGTGAACTGGACTGACCCAGTTGCTATCTGATATTGGGTATATGATGCTTGCCTCTAGTAGTTTCTGCACTTCTTTCTTTACGACTTCACTTAGGATAGGATTTATTCGTCTTTGATGTTCTCTAGAAGTCTTGCAGTCCTCTTCTAGCATAATGCGATGCATACAGACAGAAGGACTTATTCCTTTTAGATCCGATATGTTATATCCTAACGCGGTTGGATACTTCCTTAACACATTAAGAAGTTTTCCGGTTTCGATCTTCCCTAAATTGGCATTGACTATAACTGGCCGTTCGAGTTCTTTATCTAAAAATTCATACCTTAGATCTTTAGGTAACGTTTTAAGTTCTATACCAGTTTTCTTATCAATTGGGGTAGGATCGGGTGTTAAGGCGAAACATTCGCTTAGGTTGGCATCGTGATATTCCCGTCTCCAATCATCATCCTCGAAGATAGTTGGTGTCGGAATTTTCAATATCCCAGAATAGGTGTCTTCTTGGCTTTCTAGTTCTTTGACACATTCATCAATAATATCTAGGAAACAACATGAGTCATCTATAGCAGGGGCTTTGAAGAATTGGGAAAGAATAAATTCTACTTTTTCTTCTCCTACCTCGAAGGTAAGCTTTCCTTTCTTAACGTCGATAATGGCTCATGCAGTGGCTAAAAATGGTCTTCCTAATATGATGGGAATATTTGAATCTTCCTTTATGTCCATTATTATAAAGTCAGTAGGTATGTAAAATTATCCTATTCGGACAAGAATGTTTTCTAGCATACCAACAGGGAATTTGACTGATCTGTCAGCTAGTTGTAGGGACATCTTGGTAGGTCTCATGTCACCTAGTTTGAGCTTCTCGCAAATAGATAAGGGCATTAGACTAACACTTGTTCCTAAATTGCATAGAGCTTTGTCTATGACAGATTTTCCAATTACACATGGTATGGAGAAACTACCAGGATCCTTTAGCGTTGGAGGCATGTTATTTTGAATTATGGCGCTACATTCGGCAGTTAGCATAACAGTTTCGTTTTCAACAATTTTTTTCTTATTAGACAGTATTTCTTTTAGGAATTTAGCATATGACAGCTTTTGAGTTATAGCTTCTGTAAACGGAATAGTGACGTTTAGTTGTTTCAGAAGTTCTACGAATTTCTTGAATTATCCCTCGTTTTTGGATTTTGCAAGTCTTTGAGGGTATGGAATTGGTGGTTTATATGGCGGTGGAGGTACGTAAGATTTATCTGAAACCTCTCCGCTCTCATTTGTGTCTTCCTTTACATTCTCAGATTGTTCTTTCGATTTCTCTGCTTCCTTTTCAGGTTTTTGATACATGGTCGGGTTTTGGAGTCTAGGATCTACCGATCCATCAAGTGTTGTCCCACTTTGTAATGTGATAGCATTTGCATGTCCTTTAGGATTGGGTTGTGGTTGTCCAGGAAACGTACCAGCAGGTGCGGCATAACTAGCTTGGTGTTGTGCTACTTGGGAGATTTGGGTTTCTAATATTTTATTGTGAGTTGCTAGGGTATCTACCTTATTTGCTAATAGCTTCAATTGTTCACCGGTGTGAACGTTTTGATTGAGGAATTCTTTGTTTTGTTGAGCTTGATTAGCGATAAAGTTTTCCATTAGGATTTCAAGGTTATACTTCTTAGGAATGTTAGGAACATTAGCAGCGGGGTTTTGATAGCCTGGAGGTACAGCGGGTGCTTGGCCAGGTGCATATAAAGCGTTATTATTCTTGTACGAGAAGTTAGGATGGTTCTTCCAACCAGGGTTATAGGTATTAGCATAAGGATTACCTTGAGCGTAATTCACCTGATCAACTGATATTCCTGCTAGGATTTGACATTCGGTTCCAACATGACCAGGAACTCCACAAACTTCGCAGTTTGGGGTTACTGCAGCCACGGTGGCTGTAGGAGGTAAGGTCAAGCTTTCTATCTTTTGGGTAAGAACATCTACCTTAGCATTAACTTTATCTAGGCTATTAATCTCGTACATCCCACTTTTGATTTGAGTTTTCTCCACGGATGTTCTTTCTCCTCCCCACTGATAGTGGTTTTTAGCCATATTTTCAATGAGTTGGTTAGCTTCGTCATAAGGCTTGTCCATCAGTGTACCACCTGCGGCAGCATCTATAGAGAGTCTTGTGTTGTACAAGAGTCCATTGTAAAATGTGTGGATAATCAGCCAGTTTTCTAATCCGTGATGTGGGCACATTCACATCATATCTTTGTAGCATTCTCATGCTTCGAATAGCGATTCAGTATCCTTCTGCCTAAATCCGTTGATTTGAGCTCTTAATGCAGCAGTCTTGCTTGGGGAAAGTATTGTGCTAAAAATACAGTCTTAAGCCCTTCCCACGTAGTGACGGAATTTGACGGTAAGGATTGTAACCAACCCCAAGCTTTATCTCTTAGCGAAAAAGGAAAAAGACGTAATCTTATTGCATCTTTACTAACACCATTTGTTATAACTGTGTCGGTAAATTGAACGAATTTCGTAAGATGTTCATTTGGATCCTCGGTAGGATTTCCAGAGAATTGGCGTTGTTGGATAGCTGATATCAATGACGGTTTCAACTCAAAATCGTTTCGATTAATTGCTGGAGCAACAATGCTATTGTGGGGTTCTTGTTGTGATGGAGCTGCGTACTCCTTCAGTGGACGAGTCCTTCGTTCTTCGGCCATGTCTACTTCTGAATTGATTTCGGTTTCAGAAGAAGAATTAGAATCTGTTTCAGAATCAATCTTGATTTCGGGCTTTGGTAAAGGAATAGCGTGATTTAAACAGTAATCCCTGACTATTCGTCTTATGGAAAGGATGCGTTCAGGTTCGTCCGTCGATTTGTCAAGTGGTTCGCCTTGTGAACGAGTCCTTGGCATACAAATCGAAAAAGGGTTTCTGTTGCCTAGTCTAAACGCACAACAGAAGAATCGTACTTAATTGACTAATCAGTCCCCGACAACGGTGCCAAAAACTTGATCGGGACTTTATGAGTCTATTGGAATACTAACTGCAAGTATACAGTTTAGTCATTCTAGTTTTAAATGATTATCGAACCCACAGAGACTGAGGATCAATCGCATACGATCTGATGTTACAATTGTTTAACTAAGCGATGAATATTTGGTTTTAGGGGAAAAAGATTTTAATTAAAAACAATAGTAATAGTTATACCGGTATGTGATAGTCGGACTTCGGGAACTAGGTGAATTACTTGGCATATAAAGTATCTCGGTAAAAACGAATTGTTTAAAAACTTGAGACATACACTCTCGTGTTCATGAAATAAGTTATGCTACTAAACCTAGTGGATGCACTTTAAATTTAATAACACTTTTTGAAAACAGCTTGAGTTTAATTAATTTGTTAAAACACTCTCGTGTATTTAAAAATTAACGTTTCATTACCACTATCTGGGTCGAACCCCAACTCTCGCGTGCAAGTTCTTGCCTTAATTAATTTTCCACTCTCGTGGCAAAATCGTGTTAAATATCCTTTCACTCTCGTGACAAGGGTAGTTAAATTAAATATGGAAATTGAAAACCAGAAATTATTTATAAAAGTTTTTAGCCAAGTTATCACCGGATTCTTTCGGTGCTTAGGAGTCACATACCGGTACAAACGAAATTAGCCAGACATAATGTATTTAGTAACCATGCAACGTAAAATACAATTCATAAAAATAATTAACATAGCATAAGAATAATAAAAACCAATTGCAAACCTGTAATTGTATTGCTGTGGTAATCTTGAGTGCGTATAGTAGCCTTGCAGTTAATTGAAATATAAGACTAACCGTGCTTAGATGAAGAATTAACACTTTTGGAAACTACTTTTGGAAACTGCTTTTGGAAACTGAACGTTACAGTGGCTATAATGGTTTAAAAGCAAATAAAACAAAATAATGCAGAAAGGAAAAAGTATGGTTCTGTAGCAAAATCTCCGACCTTTCAAAGTGAATTCTTCAAGATATATATAAGCCTTTGGTTGTAACTGCCTTCTTCCATAAATTTCGTACGTGTGTTACTGCGTAGATTGAATATTAAGAGTGTTACGTTCGTAATGGCATTCATTACGTTCGTAATAGCATAGGATTTTGTTACGTTCGTAACGGCGTTCGCTAGGTGTTGCGTCCGCAACGCCATTGCGCTCGTAACACCCTTCTGTTTTTCTTCTTCTTTTTGCCATGCCATTTCCTAACTTGTTTTGTTCCTTTTAGCTAATTTGCCATCTTATGCCTTGGAAAATATAGTTTACCTGAAACAAATAAAAATACCTTCATGATGCATATTATTCGATAAAAAACGTATAAATAACTCGTAAATTAGGCCTAAAGAGCGATACGTTTTCGTGTTATCATATAATAACAAAGAAACTAAAATATATCAATATAGTATATTGAAATTTGAGAAAAATTTCACTTAAAATCGAATAATGAAAAAAAATATACCACAAATATGGTACGTGTATCCAATACGAATGCATACAGGTACCCGTACTTCAGCATTTTAAAAATAACCATGCTTCAGAACAATGTACGTTATGTTTGTACTAGTTATGAGTTAAGGTTCAATTGTCCATGTATGGTGGTTTGAAACCACCGGTGCATCTATAAATTTCCTTTGTGGCAGAGGTTTGTATTGAACCAAACATAAACCTAAGTCGACCAAAATGAGGAATATGCATTGCGTTTTAAGGCAAATAATTTATCCAATAAACATAGCCATATCAGTCTCAAACAGTTAAACAACCATGTTAGGTCCACATAATAAATGACATTAGAAACTCAAAAACAGTATCAGCAACTAAGCAAACCTGAAGCTAAACATCCGAAAATTAAAAGACAACAATAAATTCAAAAACAAGGTGCAATAAATTGCTATCATCACACAAATCAGAAATTCCAAATTAGTCTGCTGGTTGATCAATTTCTGCATAAGCAGTGTCAAGGTGTGCTTGTTCGGCTTCACACACCTCCTTCTCAGTTTTCCTGCCCTTCTTGCATTTGTAGTACACACTCATAAAAGTCCCAACGGCTCCATACTTCCTCCTACAATGCTCATAAAGACCAGCATCAAACATCCTCCAGAAATTTTTCTCGTTCAGCTCAGACACAGCATACTGTGGCTGAAAACAATGATTCTCAATCATCCAGCTCTCCAATTTACGCACTGCTTCTGCACCATCAAATACTTCACCCCTTAACACAGGACCTGGTGCATAGTAAACTCCAACATCTGTGAACATCTGAGCACTCCGTGTGTCTCCCTGCCTGCGTTGCAACTCGAAGCCTGCTTCTGGGTAAATCATAGTTTTGACAGGCAGCTTGAACAATTTGTGTGGACAGAGCCATATGGGGTATATCTGTATTTAAAATCAATACAGTAAGAAAGAAAATATATGACGGCACAACGGCGACTAAATCATACAAGAAAACTGAATTCCTGAGACAACTTTGTGACATATAAGCTTTGAATTGATATAAAATAAAGCAACAATTTCAATATATCATTACTTAGACAAATCAATAACAAGTTTTTTTGGAGAAGTGGAAAACTCGATACTTAAACTTCTTTAAAGGTGGAAAACAAGTTGAAAAAATCAATTAGTAGTTTAGTGCAGATCATAATAGACAAAGGAAATAGGCTTTGCTACTGATCAAAATTATGCAATGCAGTCAAACTACTGCGCCGCCTTCAAGATAAAATATTCCAGAATACACCCTCTGATGGTACAAGACCATTCAAATATGGTATCAATACCACACTCATAGTATCTTGTACAAAGACAAAGAGAAATTCAAATAATTCTACAAAGAGAATTTAATAATAGAGAGAATTCAAGAAAATACTCTGAAAATTCAACGAGCAGGAAGAAAGGGGAAGAAGTTGACGCTTTGACAATTCAAGAGACGCACTGTTATGATATTGAGGAAGGAAAAACTAAAGAAATTCTAACTTGAGCAATGTGGAATGAAACGTGTGCACTCCTTATATAGTGAAGTAAACTAGTTAAGATTTCTCACTTGAGCAATGTGGGACTAAATGATTTTTTCCATCACGAAAAAAAATTCTAACAATGTGGAACTAAAGAAATTCTTAAATTCAACATAATGGAACAAGGACATGTTCCAACAAAAAACCATGAGAGCTTTAGCCCAAACTTTAGTTACTCATAACTGAAACTAGAATCTTAAATGGCTAAACATAACTGAAACACAATCTGAAGAAAAAAAGATTGAGTGAAATATTAACAAGGATAGTGAAAGGAAAAGTGTACCTCCATCTCGCGGTCAACCCATTCTAGTGCATCTCCAACCTTGTATAAAGGAACAAGTATGTCTTGGATAACATGCATTTCATGGTAATAGTTTCTAATAGCTTCCCCTTGAGTTGCCTTGAGCAAAGAAACCTTTGGTGGCATCAACCAGCCAAACAGAAACCTAAACCAAAATTGATCACCAAATGGGAGGATAAGCTTCCCCTCCCAATACAAACACCTTGTGTGCCTGTGATAATACTCTCTGGTGGGAATGTATTCTACAAAGAGACCTTTCTTGAGTGCTGTCTCTGCATGTTGGTAGAACCAGGTTTTGTACCACCACCCTACATTGTTAATCTTATTCCCCTTTTTCTTGGCCTCTTCCTTCGAAGCATATCTCCCTGTCATGCAGACAGCTCGTGTTGGAGAATAAATCATAGTTTCAACAAAGTCTGGAACCTTCTCATCATTGTCCTGGTCCCCATCTCTGGGAGCAAAAGAATCAGAATATGCTTGTGCGATATCTTTCAGGTTACCAACAACTGGTTTATAGGTTAACTTCATGTACTCTTTAATGGGTATAAGCTTGACCTCAGCAGCAACAAGAAGCCCAAGTGTTCCCTGAGACCATGGAATAGCGTAAAATAGATCAGAGTACTCATTGTCCTTGGTGGCTTTAACAAGAGATCCATCTGCCAAAATGATTTCAAAGGCTACAACAGTATCCGAAAAAAGGCCATATTTGTGGGAACTTCCTTCGATCCCATAACCATTAATGAGACCACCAACAGTAAGATCATCGAGTTCAGCAACCACGGCAAGTGAAAGATTCATAGGCACAGTCAGCCTGGTAATCTGACCCATGTTGACAAGGGGCTCTACCCTAGCAATCATCCGCGCTGTGTCGATCTCAAGTATGTTCCTGAAAGGAGAAAGATCAACCTCAAAATGACGAGCCCTCTTATAGTCAACATTTCTCATCCCAACAGCAACCCATGGCTTACGAGCAGTGCAGACAAGACCATCCTTTGAAGGATTCCTCTTTTTGAGACGATTGACGACCTTCTCAACATTCGCATCATGCTCCTTCTGCCGCGTCTTAAAGGACTTCCACTCAGATCTCACATCCCCAAGGTATGTAAGAAAATAAAGCGTGAAAGAAATGGGAAGAACCACAAAAATAACAAGAATCCATCTAAACTTAACAAAGTAGTCCACCCAAATCTTCTTCCTCTTGGGACGCAAGGGAGCCTCAAGATCCGACATTGCTCAGTCTTACTGCAACAAAGAAAAACAGATGTAAATCCTTTGAAATTTCACATCAAAAGTTCTCAACACTAATGGTTGCAGAGACAACTAAAGACCAATGAATTACATAAATAAAACAATAAAAACAAACAGTAGATAAACAAAGATCTGAAAACTGCTAAGAAAACTAACTCACGTTAACTAGACCGTTTTAGTCCGTAAAGTGTTCGATAAAAAGTCAGAGAGAAAGAAAAACAGCGAATCTAACAAGAGTCGCAAAATGAAATTGGATTTTAGCTCGAAAAGTAGTAATGTAACATTATGAAGCAAAAAATGAACGAATGGTAGTAAAAGTGGAAGCAGATGAAAAAAGATGGAGAAGATCGAGATAGTTAGATGCAGGTTTTGAGATGAGCGGAGAAAGTGAGGAATCCAAAATCCAAACGCAAAAAAACAGTATAGAGAGAAAGAGAGAGAGTACCTGAGATGAGGTTGAAAGAGTGAAGGTGAGAGAGTGAGAGGGTTCTAGAGTTGGGGTTTTATTTAACTTATTCAATCATAATGTCGGCCGACTACAGTGTGTCATTGATGCGATTCCCCACTCGTTCATTTCACGTAACTCGTGACTACTTTGTCTATTATTACATTATCACTTAAAAAAACTAACATTTAATTACACTTTCACCTTTCTAAAATTACTCCTTCAACTTTAGGAAAATATCTTTTATTTTAAGAAAGATAACTACTTTTCTCTTTTAATCATTATATCAATAATATTAACTTGTGTTTTTGGAGTAGAAACTATAAATTATAAATTAAATCTTGAAAGGTTTTTAAAAAGTTGCATTTTCATTTTATTAAAAACTTAATATAACTTTTTTATTTATAAATTTTTTAATATATATTTTTAGAATACGTGTTAACATTATCTTTATTATATTATTACTATAAAATAAAATAATATTTACTTTTCTATGTTAATTAAGTTTAATTCTATAAATAATTTCTCTATTTTAACTTCAAATGATTTTGTTCTCTCGCACATTTTTGCAATAAAAATAGATGACGTCTATTTGATTTTTAAATTTTGCTGACAGAAATTATTCAAATTTGGTGTAATTAAATGGTTGATTATTGACATGAACATTATAGATAGTTAAGAAAATTTACTCAAATTTGTTGATAAAAGTTAGAGTTTTCCAATTTAGTATCCGATATGACACGTTTCATAATATTAATTTTTTAAAATTTAACATACAATAATATCAAATTTTAAAATGATAATATTGATTTTGATAGAGTCATTATTCATCTTGAATAATTGATTTGTATGACATTTATTTTTTTCAAAAAATACATGTAATTTTCAATTTACAAATTTATAATTATTAAATATTTTGACATCAAATATCAACTTCATCTCATACATAGAAATTAAAATCATACAATTAACGATGACAATTAACCTATAAAATATCAAACTTATTCATTTATTGGTATATCAAACTCAACTGAGTAACTATCTATATAATTTAATTTTGAATATTGGGTTTGAGTTTCTTAATACAAAGATCTATTGACTCAATCTATTAATATGATATTAATGATTTTTTATTTTTTATTATTATTTTAGATTAAAATATAAAATTAATATTTCATTATTAATAATAGTTTTATCAAAAAAAATGTATTCACCCTTAATTTACGTAACTCTGTGGTTAACTATATTTTTTATAGAAATAAGTATCATAGAATTTTGTACTATTATCAAGTGTTATATGATATGTGGATGAAATATATGATGTGTTTAATCTATATTGAGTGTTATAATTGGAAATAATAATATTTTTTTATTGGATACACAATCCAATAACTCAATCCAAATGAATTTAGAAATGAACGAGTGAGTTTGATTCGGTTTTGATCATAAATTACGGATTAAACACTAACAGCAACCCATAGAGTTTGATTCAATCCAATCCGTGTACATTCTAATAACACGAATGAAACTTTAAAAGAAAATTCTGAAATATTAATTTGAGGTGAAATATTTAAGAATAATTTAGAAATATTCTTGAAAGCTTTTTCTATTAAGATTGAAATTTGCATCTCTTTTTAAATTAAATTTCGTATAATCATGATTGTTATCGAATATTATAATATAAAGAGTTAGAGAAATTTTTGACTTGACTCTATATTGATTGTTTGTGTATTTTCTAATTTGAATATTATTCATTGTCATATTTTAATTAAATAAAAAAATATTTTAGACATTATACTCTCATTTAGATTTAAGATATTTCACATTTATATATATAGAAAAATGCTAATCAATATAATTTTTTTATGTTGATTATGACACTTGTTAAAATTTATTTCCTATTTGTGTTTCAAATATTTTTTTAGAGATTAACTGTCATGTTCAACTATTATTTTTAGTAGTTTTTTTTTATATGTTAGGTTTTACATTCTCTCATTTTTTGTTTTTTATTTAATTAATTGATTTTATTAAAAAATAATTTATTATTTATTATTTTTAATATAATTATATAATTTTTTATAATATCTTAACACTTTTTTGGTACGAATTTTATAATATATATTTCTCTATATTAAACTTTAAAAATAACAACTAAAAAGTATGAATAAACTATTTTTGCAAAAGCAATATGTAAAAAGAAACACAATGAGCATTGGTTTATCACTTTCTTCCCTTTTTTTTTAGAATTAATTATTTATTTAAGTTTATTGATATGTAAAAAGAGTATATTGTGGTCGAATTAAGTGAACTTGGTTAGTATGTATATATATACAAATGTTCAAATTTAAACTAATTTAAATGAAATTTGTAATTCAATTTAAAAAATTAAAAATTACAAAAAAATTAAAATTTATTAGACGAGTTTATATGTTATTTTGTGAAAAACGCTGAATTTATATCAGATTTTGAATTAATATTTTAAAATCGATTTAAATAGAACCAAATTAGATATATATATTTTTATATTTATTTATTTTTTATTATTATTATGATATGTTACATTATTTATTATTCATTAATACATATTTTTAATATTATTTATTAATTTTGTTTAATCTATTTATTTTTATTATTTTATTTTTTACAATTATAATCAATAATTCTTATTTCATAATATTAACTTTTAATATATTAAGTTATAATTTATTAATGTTTTTATAATATTAATAAAAATATAATTTATAATTTAAATATTTAAAAATCTATTCAAATCAAATCGCATTAAATTAGATTGGATCGGATCAAATCAATTTTTTTAATATATTATCTAAAACTAAATCGAACTACAAATAAATTTATCTTTAAATTTGATAAAATCTTTTCTCAAAATCAATTCAAACTACACCATAAATATCACTATATGTCCATTAGGCCCGGATATGAGACGTAGAGACATAAATTCAAACTCGTAATATATATTTATTTCATCTTTAAAACAGAAACTCTGGCCACTAGATTATTTAACTAAAAAGATGATTATATTTTAAAAAGGTAGTAGTACTTATTATTTTAAAGAGCTCTATCAAATTTTATTTATTTTTCATGATTATTATTTTTTGTGTGATTTTAATTAGGGTTAAATATATTTTTGATCTTTATAAATATTTTAAATTTTATTTTTAATCCCTATTAAAAAATGATAAATTTTGATTCCTACAAAAAATTTGTTCATCTAGATTTAGTCCCTGTTATTTTCCATAATTTTAAAAACTGTTTAATTATCCTTAAACTTTTAAATTTTTTAATAAAATTTTTCATATGTGTTTAAAATACTATAAAATGTTTTTTAATCAAATTTTCGATTTTTTTTAAAATGAGAAGAATTAAATATGATTTTTTTAAATTTTAAAAGATATTGATAAAAATAATAAAAATCTCGATTGAGAAATCAAATTTTGAATTCCTTTTTTTCCAATGAACTTTTTATAACGTTCTAAACATATCTACAAAATAATCATTCAAAAATACACATTGATTTAACAACATAGACTAAAACTATATGCATAATAATTTTATAGGGATTAAAACATGTCATTATTTTAATAAGGACTAAAAATGAAATTTGAGATATTTATAGAGACCAAAAACATATTTAACCTTTTAATTATTGATTTTTTTACGGACAGTACTAATTTTTATGTGTAAAATTTCATGTATGTTACATTATCATTTTTTTTATTTTACATTATCTTTATTCCTTACTTAATTTGAATTGTTATGTTGCAGGATGATAGTGGTCGGTGGATTGAAGACGGAGACCAACTCAAAAGTTTGGTGAATGATTTTTACAAAAAAAATACAATCAAAGGAAGTTGGAATAGTTGGAATCAAACAGACATCACCTTTTCTAAGCTGACTGTCGACGACATCACTAATCTTGATGCTAAGGTGAGTGAAGATGAGATTAAGAGTGCAATATTTGATATGAAGTCTTGGAAGGTTCTTGGGCCTGACGGTTTCCCTGTTGGTTTTTATCAAAGGTCATAGGGATTGGTTGGCGATAATGTTTGTAATTTTGCTTAGAAGGTGTGGGAGAAACCTTTTGAGATAGTTGTTGTTAATTAAACATATATATGTTTGATCCCGAAAACTGAGAACTCGACCATGGTTACACAATTTCAGTCTATCTCTTGTGTAATACCATATACAAGGCGATGAGTAGGGGTAGAAAACAGATCGGACCCGTTGGGTTAGCCTGTTTGACCCAGCATTTTTGACGGACTGGACTGAGGTTTTCGGCTCGATACCTTAAGTTAGTTCGCCCCGCCTAACCCGCTTAAAAAAGAGGGTCGAGGCAGGGCGGGCGGATTTTACCCGCAGGCTTTTTGTTAAAACTTTTTATTTTTTTACTTAGAATTTAATCGTACTTGATCAGAATGGACCATCACAGCTAGCTTGAGCAGAAGCTGAGAGTGAGGTAGGAGGTTCCTGCAAGATACTCCGATGATAAAGTGAGTTCTAGAATGAGCAAGCAAGCAAGTGAGTCAGAAGTGTTCAATACCTGACCCTCTTGTAAGAGAGGGTATTTATAGTCCCCAGCGTTGGGCCAAGGTCTCCTCATTGGGCTGGACAAGCAGGCCCAACATGGAGACTGCTAGGTCCTACGTTAGTAGTAGGGACCCACATGTGATCCCCTACCTGGATGACTTCCTCTACAAGACCAGGAGGATATGAAAGTGATATTTCCGGGGCCACGGAGACTCCGTGATATTCAGAGGCATTGGTAGTCATCCCTACGATAAGTATGCTCGTGAGGTGTCCCTGCTCGTCGAGGATGCCCTTACTGATCGCGAGGTCGTGTGATAGGGTCATTGTTGGTCGAGGAGAGGATTGGAGCGTGACCTCAAGGTCCTCTTGCCCGATGGTGATCTTCCTAAGGGTAACTGGATTCCTCCCTGTGTGGTGAGATGTGTCTCCTCGATGGGGAGTAGTTTTCGTCCGACGGTATTCAGGGTAGAATCGG